TTTCAGGCAGACATTTCAATTCGATTCGTAATTTGGTAGCTACTGACCCTCCACAGCTGGTAAAATGTCATTGAAAAGTGTTGCATGTAAAAGAATGAAAACCTCAAAATGTCTTCAGGTTAGGGGCTGGGACAATTCATGAATTTTTCACAGAAAGTGACGCTGTGAATTCAGTGAAACAGAATTCAGTTGTAAAGAGTTTTGAGGGCAATATTGAGTGGGATGAAGAACAAAGCTCTTAGAGCAAGGCTGACTGGGTCTAAGTCCTGGGTTCACCCGCATCCTAGTTTTGTTACTCTAACCAGTTTATTTAACCTCTCTGAAAATCCCTTTTTCCTCCATAAAATAGGAAGAGTACGGCTACCTGCAAAGCTGATGTTGGAATTATAGATGATGCATGGGAAAGCACAAGGACGGGGTTTAAGACATAAGCTCCTTGTTTTTTTTTAAATTAACAGTAGCTCTTATACTCAGTAATAAATAATAAAATAATTATTTTCATATGAATATAAGCTTTATAGCTTAACTTTCTCCCTGCATTGCAAATTGATCATATTCTGAAAACAACTGTGACTTATGGCAGATCATGGACATTGTCTGGAGACCAGATATTCCACCTAAGGATTTTCTCTTGGACAGAAGCACTAAGGGATCTTATTTTCCTTATTTTTTATTATATTGGACTTCTAAAGTTTCATCTCTTTAGTGTTATAAAGGGGAAAAATGATACTTTAAAAATCTTTTTATATTTTCTTTATGGATGTGTTAAATATGCCCTATAGTTTCCATACGTTTTACAGACCATGAGAAAGCTTCAATTTGAAGTCTCCATATATTTTTCTCTCTCTATCTCTTTTTTACTCCCTCTACAAAATGACTTATATTAATGGAGCCAAACCCCCTCAGGAGCCTGAGAAACTGTCATAATTCCATATCTTGACCCCCGTTTAACTCTTCCCTGTAATCCACTGCATTTTAAGAACATGATGTGTAAATCTAGAAACATGTTGGGATTAAACTTATGTTTGTATATGTGTTCCCAAACCCTCCTTTCCTGAGACTCACTAGAATGGCTTTGCGTGCACCCAATTTCCTCCCCTCCCTCAACCTCAAAGGAGGATCCTACCATTGCCAAAGCATTTGAATTTTGTGGTGCAGAATTATGAGAAAGATTGGCGGGGTAAAAAGATGAAAAGTTCTTGTGCTGGGGCTAGCAGTGAAGCAGCTGGGCCATGGGGATTGCTGAAGACCAGGCAGCGAGGTGGATGTGGAGGAGCAGACGGGAGAGGCAGGGGGTGTTGTGAAGAAGTCCATAAATTTCTTGCAACTCATGTTTGTTCCAGAAATGCAAGTACAGACCTTCTGTTATTTTGGAATTAAGTTTTGATTGCTGGGCAGTATTCATATGACTATGTCATTATTCCGAGACTGAACCACGTGTGTCATAATTTTTCTAATTAGTCTTAATAAAATTACATAAATTCAAGTGAGAATAAGGCACAATTACAATGGCCACTTGGAAAGGTGCCTAGATGCTAACATTGCCTACACAGAAAGACATGGAAAACTAAAAGAGCTTAGGACCATGGTTCCCAAATGTTAGGACACGTCAAACTCACCTGGGGAGCATTTTAAAATGCAGCCTCGTGGACCCCATCCTCAGTAGTTTTGATGCTGTTTTTGGAGACGGGGTCTAGGAATCTGCATTCTGTATTTCATTGTGATGCTGATTCTGACTTCCCACGTGATTCTGACACGGGGAGTTGATGAACCCCACTCCACCTTAAGGTGAATAGGTGTCAGACATCTCCAGACAGTTCTGTGTCCACTGGGGCTCCTGTAGCTGCACTCCAGAAATAAAGACTTCACAGTGTTCCCTTCAGACATTCACTGTTGTACTGTCTCTAGTCACATTTGCAAGGGCGTTTCCTCACCTTCTCTGTGACTCTTATCACCTCTACTGTCCTTAAAATCTATAGATTAACTGAAGACAATAATTGTTCTATCTTCTGATTTACAGAATAAGCATTTGTCTAGAACCCTCTCCCACACTAACACATGCTCTTCACATTCACTGGTGTTGTCTCACCCAAGCAAATTTCTGCAAAATCTCAGCAGAAAGATAGTAGGAAAGAAGAGCTAGCTGGCTGTGGAATGGGAGTGTTTGTTTGCCTGCCTGCATACAGAAGGCTGCAATGGAGACAGGAAATGTCCACTTGCAGCAGCTTTTCAAAGAGGCTGCACTTGTCCAAGTAGGTCAGTTTCCTCACCCATAATCCACTTTGGCTGTAGATTAACCAGGTTGTCCATTTTAAAACCATACGATGAGAATATTTATGCTCATCTCCTGGTAGGGTTTGCCCAGAGCATTCAGAGCATAGCTTGGAAGGCGTTAGGGCCATCCACCCACTGTGCCCCATCATAACATACCAAGTGCTCTAAAGGCAGCGTTGCTCGGTCTAGCCTGTTGCCATTCATCATGCAGGTGACACTGAAAACTGTGATCACTGAAGCGGGACTTGTAAAGTGAAACAAACTGTCAAGAAATGTCAGGTTTTTATGGAAACGCTGGAGGATGAGCTTTATATCAAGCCAGCTCGGTCTGCGCAGGGAGGCTGCCTCTGTGACCTGCTGGTGTACAAGCACAGTAACTACCCAGGAACAGCTGTATTGATTGGCCAGCCCTAGAGACACAGGGGGAAGACCTGGGAGCAGACGTACCCCCGGTTGGATATTGTCCTCTCAGCTTATATCCTCCACACCTGCCATTCCTGTTTCTGAAAAATAATGGTTGTGTTCCACCCAATCTGGAGATACATATCTTGTTTTTTCTTTCTTCACGTTTATTATTTTTTTAAAATTTATTTTATTGAGGTCACACTGGCTTATAACATTATATAAATATCAGGTGTACATCATTATATTTTGACTTCTGTATAGACTGCATCATGTTCACACCACAAATCTAGTTGCCATCCATCACCGTACACATGTGCCCCTTTACCCCTTTCTCCCTCCCTTCTCTGGTGACCACTGATCTGTTCTCCAGATCCACATGTTTGTTTGTTTATCTTCCACATATGAGTGAAACCATACAGTAATTGTCTTTCTCCGCCTGACTTATTTTGCTTAGCTTAATACTTTAAAGATCCATTCATGTTGTCGAAAACGGTGCAATTTTGTCTTTTTTTGTGGCTGTATTGTAGTATTCCATTATATATATATATATATATATATATATATATATATATATGTCACATCTTCTTTATCCATTCATCCATTGGTGGGCACTTAGGTTGCTTCAAAATCTTGGCTATTGTGAATAATGCTGCAATGAATATCGGGGTGCTTGCATCTTTCTGAGTTAGTATTTTCATCTTCTTTGGATAAATACTCAGAAGTAGAATAGCTGGATCATATGGTATTTTTACTTTTAATTTGTTGAGAAATGGAGATATATATCTTGATGTCATCTTAAATAAATTTCAGCTCCATAATAAGATTTTCCCCTTGTCTCAGCCATAGTTCTGCTAGGGATTAATAAGGTAAAGTGGCAGCTAGCAATAGGAAAGGCAGATGGAGAAAAGGTAAGATCACTTGTGTTTTGTATACTTAAGCAAACTTCCTCTAAGAGACCCATTCGACCCGACTCCATCTGTTAGCAGAAGTCTTATCTCTTAGAAGAAGTATTAAAGTTATTGATGGGATAAAGATGCCTGAGTTGTAAAATGTAAAAATTGAATACCCAAATGTAGTGAAATGATTTTTAAATATTTTCTTCATTTTTTTTTCTGACTATAAAGGTAAAACATCCACAATGTAGAAAATTAAAAAGAGTAATTCATTTTAAAGACAATGCTATAGTGATTAGCACATTGGCTTCCAATAACTGAGATGTTGTGGTTGTCTTTAAAAAAAAAAAAAAAAGCCATTAACCAGCCAAATAGGCATTGCTTCAGATCCAGAACTGCTGGTGATTTCTCATAGCCCTCTCTCACAGACAGTCTCATAGACTGGTGATTTTCTTATAGACCTGGTGGAACTAGACACAAAAGCTTGAGACTCGCAAACACATATCACTTTACAGATGAATAAGTCTAAAGCCCTTTATTTCCAAGGGAAAGGGGTACTTTATGTCACATTCTGCTTTGTAAATAGAACTTGACATCCCAAATGTTCCAAGGAGAATGCAGCTGACAGCATGTTTTCTTGGGCTGGATATACCATTGGCATCTGAACTCCTACAGGAAAATAGCAGAGAGCAAGTCACATGCTCCCTAGAGTCGACCACCTTTTTTAAGGTAGTTGAGCGTTTGGCTGAGCCAGGCTTGAAGTGTATGGTTCTTAAGAATGACACAGACTGTTTCTATTTCAGCTGAGAACCTTTCACCAATGTAAAACAGGATGAGAGGAAATACCTAAGCTTGTAACCCTTAAACAATCTTTCCTAAGATTGACTAATATGACAAAATTTTTATAAAAAAAGAGACTGATAAATTTTGATTCATACTGAAAATGATGCACTTGAAAGGAATCTTGGAGTTTAGCGGTCCAAAAAGATCAACCACATTCTCTAAAAAGGAGTACAGAATTTAGCTACTTGATATGTTTCCCTTCTATTAAAAACTGGCACCTGCTTCTTCCTGAGTTGAGGACAAAACTTGAAGATATTCAGGAAAAGATAACCACTATAGGGTGCTCAGTGTTGAGGACTCAGCCTTCCATCGTGTCATCATGTCATTTCCAAACTTTTTTTCTTTTGGCATAAGAAGTAGATATTTTCTCTAAAAAGACACTTACTTATATATTTAAAGTTACTCATTTCTCTACATGTCACCCATGTATTGCTTTAATGAAGCACCAGGAAAAATTCCTGTGCTGAAATCTTGTGGGTTGCATTAAATTTTCCTTAAGGTCCCGCTCATGAATGATGACTTCTGAAATATAAAACAATTGTTCGTCTTAAATATTTATTTCCCTTTCCACATTCCTTTCCATAGGATGGATTTATTGACTTTTTAGAGTTTATTGCTGCTATAAATCTAGTTGTACGAGGAAAAGTGGAGCAAAAATTAAAATGGTATTTTAAGCTGTATGATGCTGATGGAAATGGTTCTATTGACAGAAAGGAACTACTGAACATCTTCATGGTAAGTGAAGTAGTGAAGTGTCCTTTGCAGGACATGATGTAGTTAATTCAATTTTCCTCCCCATGGGGTTGGTCACAGTTCTCTATGTGGTTGGCTATTCTTGGGTTCACACTTGGAATTGCTGAAGAGTGTAAGTTACACAGTCCTATTGGTCACTGAGGCTGCAACTGCAAAGCCACATTTTCTTCTCAGTGCAGTCCACTCTGAAACTCACAAATTTAGCAGAGTATTGAGATGAAAAATGAAATAAACATGATGTTCCAAAATAACTTATCTTTTTCTCTGCCTTGGTGCAGAAAGTCTTGCAGGAACAGCTAAAATACAAGATGGTTTATATAGCAAGAGATATGGACTAACAATGAAGGTACTGAGGACTACCCTTTCCAGGAGCTGAACTAAAGTGGTTCTAATAGATGGCTCAGGGATCTTAGATCCTGTCCATCTCTAAAGTTCAATAAGTGCCTTTATAAATCTCCTCCCACTCTCTGCCAATGGAGTGGGATAAGTATTATCATAGAATGCGATAAAAAGGATCCCAGAGCAAAAGTATGATTAAGTGAGAGGCTGGCCTGGTGACCTAGTGGTTAAGTCCTCCTGCTCCACTTCAGCAGCCCAGAGTTTGTGGGGTCAGGTCCTGGGCATAGACCTACACACCACTCATCAAACCATGCTGTGGTAGTGTCCCACATATAAAGTAGAGGAAGATTGGCACGGATGTTAGCTCAGGGACAATCTTCCTCACTAAAAAGAAAAAGAAAAAGGTTAAGTGGGACACTGCACCTAAATGAAGATATGTAGTAAAATAAACATTATAAATACAATGCACTGAATTTGTAACAGAATCAAAGAGAGTTAGAATCAGTCACTTAGAAATGATCTGGTCCAAATTCTTTCTTTTATAGGAGAAGGAACTGAGTTACAAACATAATACTTAGTAGAAATGTTAGCAAAAATGCAAGAAAAAAATAAATAGGTGGAGCTACAATTATAATTAATAATCTTAATAAACGGATGAAGCTGTTAAAATTCAAAGCTGTTTAGCAAATGTGGAGTTACCCACATATGGAAAGGATTCAGGGGTATGATGACATTCATGTTGCTACCACTTAATATCACAAAGACCATTCACAAAACCAAGTACTAGGATGAACTTTACAATTGAACTTTGTAAGCGTTAAAGTTCAGAAATTCTGTATACATTTTATGTGTTGCAACACAAAATTAGGAATCTAAAATATTCTATAGAGAGTGCCCAACCCCATGTAAATTTTAAAATATTCTCTTAAATAAATATACTCAAGCTTGTTTTAAAAATATTTAATATGTGACACAGCACAAATATTAGGGGGGCCTCCAAAGCAGAATTCAGAGCAGGGGTTCTTATCTTGAGATTTATGGTTCTATCACCTTCAGGAACCCTTGAAGACCTTGAGACTGAGGACAAAATTTTGCCTATATGTTATCCATTTTGGGGAGCGAAAAGATTCACCAGCATGTCAAAAGGCTCAGCAAGAACAAAAGGATAAGAGTGATTTTGTCTAAACCTTACAGGACTGTTTACATAGATTTTCATTAGGTAAAATATACAGCTGAAGTTAGTGAGTCAAGGAGAGAAAATTAGCAAGGAGCTTATTGAGTTTTTCCTTAAGGTGTTTAGAAAGAGAACAAAAAGAAAGAAGGGAAACTGAAATAATAAAAGCACAGAGCAGAAATTCATTTAATAATTGGATACTATTTGTCTCTAGTTAAATTAATAAAGATTAAAAGCAATAAGACATAACTCTGGCCAGGGCACCATTTCTCACCGAGAAGTGGGTGTCAGCAGGTATTACATTCCTGAAAATTTGGTGATCTGCAGTGGTAAATGTTTATTTTCAGTTGAGAGTCAACAGTACTTTTGCTTAGAAAAAGCAATCATTAATGTCAAAGATAAAAGTTTTACAATTTACATCACAGAATCGCTTAAGATAGTAAAAACAAAAAACAACTGTAAAAAGGGAAATGTTTAAGTAAGTGAATGCCATGGAATATGTACTTATTAAACTATAAGTGCTCTATGAACATGTCTATATAATGGCAAGTCAAAAAACAGCAGGGTAAAGGATAATACATACTGTAAAATATAAGTTCTCTCAACACATGATAAGAGGAAGTTCTAGTGGAATTCAGCCCAGGTGTCGAGAGATATGAAGGAAGCACTAGAATGAAGATAGGCAGAATTTACAAAGGAAGTAGTTACATTTTAATCTCACTTCAAGGGTATAAATGGTCAAGAGGAGGGTTTTTGAGAAGCATTATTGGAGAGGATTTCATAGGTAAGAACCCTTGAGTCAATAGCGTGGGGATTTGAGGAGACCACTGAGCTGTGAAGGCATCCTGCAGTTTAAGAAACCCACGTTCCAGTGTTCGAGTCACAACTGAGAAACTGGAAGAAGCAGACAATGGCAGCAGAGTAGGGAGATGAAGCTTAGGAAGTCTGCATTCCTAGAATTTCCTGGAGCAAAGGATGTGAGGGTGTTTTCCATGGATCAGACACAGACCACTGTGAGAAGAAGCTGGCAGAGTTATCTTGGATCTTGTCCAGCTGAGCCACCTGGAAAGGTGAGGGAATCTCAGAAGAAGAAAACTGGAGGTTGGTAGAACTGGAAATGGTTCTCAACCAGTAGTGATATGCACTCCTCCTGCCCCAGGGGACATTCTGGTTGTCCCCTGGGGAGTTAGGGAGAGTGTGGTGTTACTGCTCTCCATTGTTTAGATACCAGGGATGCTGCTAAACATTCTACAGTGCACAAGACAAACCTGGACAAGAAAGAACTGTCTAGTCCAAAATGTCAATTGTGCAAATATTGAGAAACCCAGACCTGGAGCCTGTAAAAGGATCCTCAAGGGATCAGCTGGAATCAAAATACGTGATTCCTGCCTGGGGAATAGCAGGAGAGAGTCTCAGTAATGAAGTGGGGGTGGGGCGCCTCAGAGGAAGCGTGGACTTCACCCATCTGCCATCCAGAGAGCCCTGAAACCAGATAACCCAGGCCTGCCTAGTGCGAGCTCTCCAGCTCCCCTTTCTCTCCCTTCTCCCCCTGTTGCTTCTCACAGAAAGCGCAGAGAAGGGCTTAGCGAAATGTGGGAAGAAAGAGCAGATATGCTAATGAGGAAGGAAAAAAGGAAACAGAACACGCCTCCTTGCCCACCTCTCACCATGCTTCTCCTGTAGTAAGAGGGAAAATACAGACACTCTGAGGACTCCCTCCAAAAATGTTATCCCTCAGGCCTCCATCAGTCCTTCATGCTCACTTACATTCCCAGGAGATGGGTGATGGACAAATCCGAGAAATTTTCATGATCTTTTATTACGACTTATACACGTGGTCTAGTATCACTGCAAGATGTGGAAATACCGGATGCTTTGCCAAACTTTCTAGGCTTTGGGGGCCTCTGCCAAAACACTGAGAAACCCTAAAAACCTTCATGGAATAGGATACTACATGTATGTAACCATTACTCTCAGTATTACCCTATATTAACTGTGAGATCTCGGCTTGCTGAGGCCAAGAGTGGTGCTTTATGACTGTTTGTTATGAATAATCCTGGATTCAGGATTAGCAACGCTTGAGAAGCCGCTAAAGGGTCAGATTTAAGACCGTGCCCCCTGATTGAAGTACGTTGCCAGCAGGTTTTCTGAAGTCCCTTCATGTTCAATCGAGATAGTTATGTTCCAAACCCCAGATGACTCGTTCCCCCCTCTCTCTCTCTTTCTCTGTTTCATTTTATTATGAATTTCTATGTCAAATATGGGTCATTAAATTTAATCACCTGGTGGGGGGAAGGGAGAGAGTTGTTAAATCTTCCCTCTAGGAAAACTGGAAATATCATTTCCCTTGGGTCCGCTGAGAGCTTTTATGATGAAAATGTGCTGGCAGGATGTGAGAGAAATACAGGATTCTTCCAAGGCGTGCATAGCTGGCTTCCCAGTCGATCATTCTACAAAAAGGCATGAAGGACCAGGGCCTCCAGTAGCAGAAGCAGAAGGAAACTTAGATGCTCACAGAGCATTCTTTCATGTTCAACCGCAAGACGGAAGGTAATCGGTCCGAAACTGAGAACATTGTCTATTTTCTGAATCCAGAATTCTTATGACAGTGACTACCACAATTTCTCTGCCATGAGCTTTTTGCATCTTTTGTGACTTAATATGTTGAATGGATCTCTCTGTGCTGCATAAAATAAAACTTCAGACTGTATTTGGTTAATTTAATTTCCAAATCTCATTACCCAAACTGACATACAATCGTCTAATTTATTTTTAATAACTAAAACAGATTGGATAGTAAAACTGACATGAACATGTCCCAAAACTCTGTCACATTGGGGTAGAAATGTCACAAACTGTACTTGCTTCCAGCAAAGTTGAACTCTCTGATTTGCTTTCTCTCTGCAGGCTGTCCAAGCCCTCAACGGCCAGCAAACTCTGAGTCCTGAAGAATTCACCAACTTGGTGTTTCACAAGGTCGATGTAAACAATGATGGTGAGGCAGCTGCTCTCCTCTGCCTCATTTTTCTCACAAAGTAGGAGATGGAGGTTGGCGGGGATGGAGGGCCATTTAGACAAAACCATGAACCTTTCAAGAGAACCCGAGCTGTGACATGATTTGGGCTTCATAATTTGACTGGTCCAATGTTCCCCATTCAGTAAAACTCTATTGAGTAAATATTTATTGACGGTATTTATATTCAACACATGGCGCTTGACACTTTGGGATCTATGAAGAAGATTGAAGGGAGATAAAAGAAAACTGGGAGAATATGAGATGAAGGCCATCCTGCTGTCTGTGGGATATGTTCTAGTAATTAATTCCTTTGCACTGGAGATTTCTCATCAATTTAGGAATAAACTTAAGTTTTCCCCACTGTAGAAGTCATTCCTTCAGTTACACTATCTTCTACTCTCAGATTTTTTTCCTTCCCTTTGCCTATACATTTCTGGAAAGAGTTGTCCATACTTCCCTCTATTTCTGCTCTTTCTACCTTTACTACATTTGTACTCTTTCTGCTCATTTCTCCATCTGCTCTTTCTACCCTAAAATCTGAGTTCCTCTTTAGCTCAGAGAAGGTGCACTTCTTCAGAGGCAGGAGTAAAAAGCAGAGTAACAGACATTCCAAGAGAAGGGACAAGTGCTTACACCAAATGGCTTTGATGTCAGTAAACTGGTAGGTGAACATATTGACTTGAGACTGAAGCAGCATATCCAGGAATGGTCCTTGAAAAACGGAAAGCTTGGCATTGTGGAAAATAAGATGTTAGTAAGAAATATTTTAAAAGAAAAAAAAAAAAGACCGATACTAGGCATTGGGATTCCAGCATGGTTGTAATTAATCCAAAGTAACTTCCTCCAGTCAACCTGCCCACCTTGGGTCACTTCTTCTAGTGGACACTAGAGGGCAGTAGAGCCACATGTTGAGTGTGGCAATTTGCGCCAGTCAAACGTGGCTGCTTAGACAGCAGGATGTCATGGTGAGGAGGCTGGGAGGGAGTTCAAATGAAATCACCATTATGAACAAGCCAAACAACTGGACAAGAGTATAATTCTCAGAAAAGAAATTTGGAAAATATACCAATAGCATAAATCTTCCTCTTAAGGACCCCGTCCTGGATCTGCTTCATCTCAATCTCAAGTCAGTATGCTCACTTACTAGTTTACTGAGACTAAAGTCGTGTAATCATTCATATTTGGGTCCATATGGATTGAGAATAAAATAAATCAGTTCATGTGAAAGCTTGCAAGGAACAGATTCAGACTAGCCAGAGTTGATATAGAAGCTAAGTGAAGCTAGAAGAGGACCAGAGAAATGGATAGTGGCAGATCTTGTGAGGCCAATTATTTGGAACAAGCAACCAAAAATGGTGATCCTCAAATAGGAGAAATGCTGTAGGTTTTGTTCTGTTTTGTTTTAATTTTTAATCTTAAATGTGCTGCAGGATGACAAGGATTGGAGTAGAGAGGATAAACCCTTTCAGCCTGGGCTGAAATCATTGATCAAAGGAGGAATGTTCTGGAAGTAGATGAGACGTCGCGAATGTTTAAGACTTAGTATATACAGTGATTTGCAAAAGGGCAGGTCAAGAATGTTTGAAAATGTCTATGGATCCTGCTTTTAGTGCTGGGAGTGGGGGGATAGAAAAAATGACCCGCTTGGAGAGGTCTGAGGATCTTGGCATCCTTAAGAAGAGGCTCGGTTTCCATTAGTTTGATGGAATGGATAATGTGTTCCAGAAAACAAGGTAATGATGCAGGGCTCTTTGTTTACTATCTAAGCAGGTTCCTCAAGAAGAAAGTATAAGTAACCAGTGAAATGGAGAATGTGGTTGGAAGGGGCCTAGAAATAGAAAGAGCTGGGACGAAAAAGGATGTGATTCTGGAAGAGTGCAGGTGTCCTCAGGCAGTCCTGAGGTTGCCTACGGTTAGGGAAAGGGGTTCTTTGACCTGGAAGAATACATCAGAAGAGATGGATGCCTTACGGTTTCTAGAATAGCTTAGAGAACCAACTACACAATTCATTTCCTCTGATACAAAAACTTGTATTTCAAGAAAAAAATACATCATTGGCTTTTACCAAATGAAGATATCAAATAAGATAGTTGCACTTTAGAACAGCAATGACCCACTGTTTCTTCGCAAATGCATACAGAGAGGTAAAACTGATAGGATTTGCTTTTATGTGGAAATTATTGGAGGCTATTATATTGTCGCATCAAGAGACAGCTGAGTCATTCCATGTATCAAGAAAAAGATGCTAAAATGATACCGTTAGACAGAGACAGCCCAGTGCACCAGAGGACAAGGAAGAAACGGAAATGAAGACGTAGAAGGTTGATATTTGCAGAAGTGTAAAAGGATCTTGCCAATATTTGACAGAGGAGAATAAAGTGCTTCACTCACGTAAAGGGGAAGTTAGCTCCAAAGGGGAGGATGTCTATTCACATTTGTACAAACCTAAGTATATATACCTCAAATTTGATTTTTAAATTGCTTATTATCATTGTTATCAAAACATCAGTGTTGGTAGAATAGAGATGTTCCATTAAGTATACCAGAATAATGTTGACTATGTGCCAACATATACTGCTTTTGATTTCTCAAAATAAAAGCAAGCACACCCTAGGTACCTGATGATCCAATGAATATTGAAACCAAAGGTAAAGAAGATCACAGCACAAGATGCAACCAAAAAAACTTCAGGAATATACATGAAAATCCCATTTGACTGCAAATTATTTGCAAAAGAATGACTAACTTCAAATCTGTTGGGACAGAAAAATATACAACAGCTATGAAGTACTTAGCCAATCAAAGTTAGATTAACCAAAAGAGACGTATGAGATTAATGCTGGGAAAATAAAAAGATGCAGAGCTATAAGCTCCACGAGGGCAAGAACTATTTCTGTTTATGTCCTTTGGTATTTCCAGTGCTCCCACACTTCCTGGCACATGCTCTATAAATAGTTGTAAAATGACGAGAAAATTGATAAGAGGATGTCATATGAAAAGCAACGGAAGAAATGAAGACACAAGCAAAATACACAATGCTATCTGTAGGAAGAAAGGCATCTGGAAGACTATTTTGGAAATGAACATATATATGCATAAGCATTGCAAACTTCATAAACTAGAAATACAGATTGATTAGCAAGAGTTCATTACCAATGGAAAGCGGAACTGGGGAGCCAGAGAGAGGTTAAAGGGGGTTCTTTTTTTTCATTACCCCTTTCTCTACTGTTCGAATTTTTACCATGAGCATGTAATATTGTTATATACAAGTTAGTTTTATTTTTATATTATGAACAAAAGCATCCAGGAAGGAGAGCTTGAAGAGAATCACAAAGACAGAAAATTGAAGCTAAACATTCATTATTATTGAAGAACGCAAACAGAGAGGACAGCCAGACCAGTCAGGATAAACGACTAAGCATGTAAGCCTGCAGCCGCTACTAGGGGAAGCATAGCAATCCACGTTCCAGCGTGCGTCGCTAAGGAGTCATTCCCAATTTGATTTAGGAAGATTTATAGTGCTGTTCACAGCCTCGAGTGCAGAAAGTATCCAGGCGAGTTTGACATAACGCCGAATAGCGCGGAGACAGGGAGCACTAAGTGGCTCATAATAATAACCCATGAAAGTGAAAAGAGACAGAAGGAGGCCAAAGAGGAAATGAAAGAGACTGAGTAAAAGAAAACAGCGACAGAACATAAAGGAAGACGTTTTATTGAGTGACTAACCAGAAAGACCAGTGCTTTAAACTGGAACGTTGCGGGAAGCCACGAGGGTCACAGTGAATCAAACTGGGAAAACTGGGACCCATCAGGAGATCGGAGGGAATGGAGTTTCCTCGGATAAGAGAAGAAACTGCTGCGCTTAAAGCTCTGCTATAAAATGCTGCGAAATGCCTCTGCTGCCACCTTGCTAACGAGCACAGAACTGGTGTCGTGAACACCGTCACTAGCATCCGCCTGTGAAAACGTGTTGATTCTTGTCTCCTGAGTCTGCCCCTTCCCATCTCTGGTAATTTCTCAGCCCCAGCACAATTCTTCACAAAGTCCTAATTAAGAATAATTTTTTAAAAAGTTCTTTACACAGTTTTACTTCTTTTAAAGCCAGGCTGACTTCTTTAGAGCAAAAATGCTAACGTGGGTATACACGGTAAAAGTTGGCCTTTTTGGGGGGGACGGGGTTGGGGAGTGACTTTTTGTTTTATTATAAAAGCTATGTAAAACGTTAATGGGAAGAAATACATGATCCAGGAATAGCAACAAGATAACCAGATTGCAAAAAGAGGACTAAAGAAAGTATTCATGGGTAGCTGCCTGTCACCAACGAAACTGCTGAAATTGGTAATGAGATGGAAGAGCACCCGAACACTGAGCTTCAGGGTCCCCAGGAGCAGAGAATGTGTCCCCCAGCACAGCAAACAGCCCTAAATGACGTAGATATAAGTTATATGCGTATGTATATTTCAACATACGAACATAAAATTGTGCAATTCCTGAATTACAGGCTACAAAAACTGAAGTGTGTCTTTAAATATAAAACAAAATAATAAGAACTCAAAAGTCTCTTTAGGTCCTTCTGAGTCTCGTGATCTCCAGCTCAATCGTCTCTTACCGACTTTATCTTTTTGCTGGTAGATTTTTTTCTTTTTTGAGGAAGATTAACCCTGAGCTAACATCCACCGACAATCCTCCTTTTTGCTGAGGGAGATTGGCCCCCAGCTAACATCTTCCTCTATTTTATATGTGGGATGTCTGCCACAGCGTGGCTTGATGAGCGGTGCGTAGGTTCAAGCCGGAGATCCCAGCTGAGCATCCAGGGCAGCCGAAGTGGAGCGTGCGAACTTAACCGCTGCACTACAGGGCAGGCTCCTAGATATTTTTGTGGGAATCTCCTGGACGGGCATAGGCAACCAGTCTAGGGAGACCCAGAAAACATCCTTTTAATTTGAGGGTACATAAATCCACAGGCAAATTAAAGAGGACTAGGAAACAATGTTTAACAACAGCAGATAAAGGAAAGCAATTCGTCAGCATCGGTTTTCTGAGCCCCGCCCACATCATGACACTGGAGTGGGCTGTGCCAGTGGTAGCCTGCAGTAAAGGAAACAATTGTAGTTAGGGCTCGATAAATGTTTGATGAATAAACGGATGAATGCCAAGTGCTAGAGGGAAAAGAGGAAAGAAAATTTAAAAGTAAGAACTTCAGATAGAAATAGTAAATGTTATAAGTTGCTGTAGGTAGAAATTGGCTGAATTTGAAAAAGAGAATTTTTTTATGACAAGCGGTTAGGTAACATGAAAAAAATGACACGCAGAGTTCACAGGTGTTTTAAAGAAAGTGAAAAAACACCAGTGAAGAATTCCATCTTTTAAAAAGTTGCTAAGAGAGTGATCTTAAAAATTCTTATCACAAGAAAAAAATTGTAACTATGTGAGATGTTGGATGTTGACTGAACTTAATGTGGTGATCATTTCACCGTATATACACGTATCAGATCACTACATTGCACACCTTAAACTAATACAGTGTTATATGTCAATTATATCTCAAGAAAAAAATTTCCGAAAAAAAAGGAATTCCATCTTTTCTCTCATTTCCACATCAGTAACCTGCCTTGCTTTTCCAGCACCACGGAGACTTTCCCCCAGCGCCTTGAGAAACAGCTCCTTTCACTGTCAGCAGTGACAACAAGGTGTTGTAACTGAGCAGTCAAAACAGACTTCAGTTTCCCACCTCCCCTCCCCCGACTCCCCTCGCTCCTCTCAGCTTGGGTCATGCTGAGCCCCTAGAAATCTGAAAGGGCTTTTGGGCCGGGGATTTAGCAGCTGTGGTTCCTTTTCGCAAAGGATGGTTATTCTTTTGTTATTTACAGTACCCCCCACCCTCCCACACGCTTACCACTCCTTTTTATTTTCCGTTTTCTCTACTTCGCTTCGGTTCATTCCAGGTTGCTCTCTCCCTAGGATACACAGGGGACTCTATTCCTACTCGCTGTTAGTTGGAGTTTTCCACAGGCTTCTTCGGCATAAAGAAAACAGGAACGAAGATTAGATTTCCCTCTAAAAAACGTATTTTACTGTTTTGCCATTGAAACTAAAAGGACGATATCTTGTGAAAATGTGATTTGGGCTTATTTATATTTGAATCACTTTTGTAGTGTTTTAGGGATTTGTCTTTATCCACTAAAAAGTACAAGTACAGTACAACACGTGATTTCCATTCCTGCTGACTTTCTGCCTCAGGTGCACATTCTCTAGCTACCGAATGTGCTTAATTTGTGTTTGGCTAAACCCTACTGGGTACAATCTCTTTGAAATCAGGAACTGCATCTGTACTCCTCAACTCGAATACACCCATAATCACAATCCAAATGATTTAAATCAACAGAGAATTCCACCCCATCCCTCCCACCCAAAAAAGTTGAAATTGTCTTGTGGGATGAAGGTAGTAAAAAACATGGCAGCCAGTACGCATGGGTATGAGGTGATAGTTTTATAGCTCCGGACTGGTCATCGGAGGCCTCAGGCTTAAGTCAAGGTGATAAAATTAGGAATCAAAAATCAGAAAAGGAAAGGAGAACTAAGACCAATAACCATATGTGGAATGAATAAATGTTTCCCCTTCCTCACAGCTTTGGACAGTCCATAGAATTATTTCCTCAGAGAGAAGAGTATTGAAAACAGTCTTGCAAACAGACATTTCCTCCTGATCTTAGAAATCTGCAATCTTCGTGCTCTTATGACTTGGTCATATCTTCAAGATTAAAAGGTCAAGTAATCAATACTGTGTCGAGATATAAATGTATGTGTGAACACGGGGGCATTACCTGAAGTTCTCAACTCAAAATAAAAATAAATTGTACTCATCATCTTTATTTTCACTGGCCATCCTGCCATTGCATGCTTTCCTAAACAAGGATAGTCAAAGAATTGAGAGTCTGGTTGAAGTGAAAGAATATCAAAAGAAGATTATCAATAAAAATACCAGTGAATATATTGTATAAGCCAGCGAGTGGTATGGACTAAGCTTCTTGTTAATTGGTCATTTATTATTTTCTAGGAGAATTGTCTTTAAAAGAATTTATCAGTGGCACAGAGAGTGATCAGGACCTTCTGGAGATTGTTTCCAAGAGCTTCGACTTTTCCAGTGTCCTGAAAGTCATCTGTAACGGGAAGCAGCCAGACACAGGGGAGAGGCTTCCTTCAAAGTGTCGGAGACGGCGGGTCCAGGGAAGGCGAACATGAGGTGGCTGTGAGAACGCCCTTCCCAGCTTTTGGTGGATGCAAAACTTTCAGCTGAGAAGAAATAAAATGTTCCCCATGTACATGCTATTGATTTCAGAGTTTTATTGTAATTGGTATTACTTTATGAATATATCACTTATGTTCCACAGATCCCTCCATAAAGATCGCAGAGGGAAGCATCGTTGCCCTTCTGTTTATGCATTAGTACTCTTTCTACAGATTAGAACATAATGATTAAACTGAAGGATTGTCTATCAGTTCAAAATAGGGCTCACATGTATGTTTCCTTGCACACCTAAATTAACCTGCATCCTGAAATAGACCTGGATTATCTGGGCGGTGTCTGCTCAGGTTAACATTCTTCTTAGATTAAACGTGTATTCTGCAAATGTGTTTGCTGCCTCTGGGCTCTTGTTGAAACTGTATATGATCAATGACTGAGTTCTGTTCTGCTGAGAAACTTTTTTTCTGCCCTCCTGTCTCATTCCTTCCTCTGAATGCTGTCTCAAATTAGTAATAATGTTCTGTTCCAAAGGAACAGTCTTAAGCTATGTAGTAAAAAGAGAAACTTTCAGGCTGGGCAAGGAGAATGTTTCCATCTGATTTGTTATAAATCTGGGTCCAGTTGTGCATGAAAATGCGACGCATCATGTGTAATTATTATGCCAGTTGGAGGTTTGATCAAAACAGCAGACAGCCAGGCTATGCAACAACAAGCACTTGACATTTTAAACGGTCCTGACATTATAGCTCTGACATTTCATTTTTTATATCCTTTCCAAAAAATGAAACGATGAATGGGATTTCTTGATGGGTTAGAACTTTTTAAGTTTGGGGTTCTGTATTACAGGCCCATTAGTACATCTGTCAATGCAGGGCTTTCTCATGGGAACACAGTGGAGGTTGAAGAACAGATGTGAGCTGTCTTTGTGTTAAAAGCTTCCTAATAATGCTTTCATATGCAAATTTGGGTTAAAAACACAAATGAAAATTACAGAGTTGGGTTTACCTGTCTCCCTCATAGTTACAGCTGTGCATAAAGGTACAGAGAGAGGTATAGATGGGGCATAAGTAGCAATAGAAATAGGGTATAAATGGAAGTAGAGAAGTTAGAGATGAATGCAGAGATGAAGATGTAAGGTGGAAATATTCTGGGATTTTCCAAAACATTTTGAGGAGATTCACAAAGAAGTATATAATATAAGATAAAATATGTTGAAACAAAATTATCACAGATAAAGTAAGATGAGAAAAATCATTGCAGCTCTAATGTCACAAAGTCATTTGTCAAAGGTGGGCTACCCACTGGACTCTGAGCTTCCTAGCAGTAGAAGAGAAAAGGAAAATATCCTCACAGACTTGCCTCAGCAACAGCCCCATCCTGGCAGTGGCAATTGCTTTCATTTTTTTCCCCACATTCCTCTGAGATACCCAGTGTCCTTTCCACAGAAAATGGGGTCCCAGTGCCCCCTTCCAAGCTTTATGTTCTAATCATCCTCACCTCTTCCCTTTCTTCCCCCAGCCTAGGATGGTAGCTGCTCCCTGCCATTTCCATGTACTTCAGTGTCCTCTCTTTCTTTTTCAGTCCTCCAAGGTCTTTTTAATTAATTCCCTGTATTAAATTCCCTCTGTTAAAACACCTAGTGTGGTTTCTGTTTCCCTGACTGATACTGGGCCTTGACTCACTGAAGGGAGAATCCTCTTTAGGGTGGGGGACTAACCTCCTCCTTTCCCTACATGCACTAAGTATTTACTCTAGAATTGTGCTGAGTGGCTTGTTTAACCCTAATAGCCCAGCGATGCAGCTGTCATCTCCACTCTGTGTCTGGTAGCTGAGACTCAAAGAAGTGTTATCATTTCCCCCGAGTTACTGCAAGGCAGTTTCCTTCCAGCATCTCCAATGGGCTGAGCCTAACAGGGAAACAGCTGGCAAAGAAGCCATGTAGTCAGTAAGACCCCAGCCCAGCATCGCAGAGCAGAATACAGAAGGAAGAGTTGGGAGCTGAGAGTTTATAGCTTAATTACCAGCACAGATGGGGAAAGTGTGGTGAAACAAGCAGATGCCTTAAGAACACCGCACCACTCCTAAGTCCCATAGTAAGAGCATCCAAGTGCTGCTTTATCCCAGCCCTTACCTCCCACTTTATGCTTTGAACCCTGTAGTTCTCATGTGGCTTCCCCGGGCTTCAGTCCCCCTATTGTCTCTCACCTGGATCTTCCTCCAGCCATCACCCCCTTTGCAATCATGACTGGCTTGTGTAGTTCACCCAGATTTGGTTTTAGTTTTCACCCAGATGCTGCCTCTTAGATTTCTAAGCTCTATTTCATTCACTGTACCCAACACTCACTCCAGATCTACCACTTCCCAAGTTGACTCCAGGGCTCATGGGTGAGAAGTGAAAGTGGTACTCCCTTCCCTTTGCAAAGAATAGCTTGTTCTTTTCTGTAAGAAGGGCAGGCACCCCACATAGCATACCCTTGTCAGCTTCCTAGAAAACGAGTTGGTGGGTATGGAGAATGTGAAGATGCTAGCTGTTTGTTGTAAGAAAACAACTTATAATAATGCCTACTTCATAGTTTTGCTGAGGGCGGTCCTAAGAAGGAGATGGAATTCAGGTAGAAAAGAGTTTAGGTTAGTTCATGGTCAAGTAAGATAGAGAAAAAAGAGGCTGAAAAAAGAGAACCATAGTCTGTTCCTCAGGTCTCCATCTCTTAGGGTCATATCTCCCCAAAGTCATGTTCTTCTCCATGCTTTCCTCTGCTACTTAGCGTCATGATGCTGGGTCCAAGGAAATAGTCCTAATCCCAATAGTCCTCAGAGTCCTGTTAAGCCATGTCACTTTAACGAGCTAGATATTTTAAAGTAAATTTCTTCCCCCTTTAGATGATAAGCTTTAGGCAGAACCTACTGCCCAGTGATGTCTTTTGGTTTTGCAGGTTTATTGTATTTAATCAGAATTCCATGTTTTTCAGTAAAATTTTAAGTAAGCGATTTCATGACAAGTAGGGCCTGGTGTCTGAACAAGCTGAACAACCTTAATGAATGTCTCAGACTGTCACTCCCATTTACCAAACAGCAGGAGCCCAACCAGAATCATGGCCGTTTGACGAGACCGGGATATTCCAACGTAGCTTCCTCTTTTTTCCTACAATTCCTTGGTGCTTTGAAGGAAAGACACTCTTTTAAAAAGAGAGAAAGACAAAAGGGAAGATATGAAAGTATGTAATATTTGTTACTTTATAAAAATGACCCCCTCCCTAAAAAAGAAGACTAAAATCACATTCCTCACATCTCTCTCTATAGCTGTAGATGCACCAGGAGGAAGATGGCCTGATTCTTTTGCCCAAAATATCAAGAAAGAAAGGAAATAAAAAGGGAAAACAGATGAGTGGCAGCTGCTCCAGGATGAGAACGAACTCTAATGTGATTTCTCTTCGTCCTGCTCAAGTCAGTGCTGTTGACCAGCTGCTCCTTCAATTAGGCCTCGCTCGGTTCCTTCTCGCACAGACAGAGAATATTCCAGCTAGAGACCTGTCTACAGATGTGGAACTGCTGTTTAAAGCAGAAGAGGAGGCCGTGGGGCAGGAGAATGGTTTAGGGGGGCAAACATTTCCTTCATTTTTCTTTCCAAAATATGTTGGCACAAATGTAATGGAGAAATCCATGAGAAAATACGGTTTGTTTAAAATTAAATGTATGGCTGAGAGGCGGATGAAGAGACCTAAAGGAACCAAAGAAACTACGTGAGTGTCGGAAAGAGCCCCCTGCTCACCTCCCTCCCCGCATTTATATTAAAATAAGCTTTAAAAATGAAAATGAAATACAGAAAAGTCCTGACGTTTAAAACCAACCTCGTGTCTTATGCTTGCTGAGGAAATCTAAATCATTAAAACGGTGTGGACAGGAAGTAGCTTTCTCAATACTCAGAGTTTCTTCCTGGGGACAGCTGTAGGCAGGCAAGATCGCACAATCAAATCAAACCCAGGGAATATCCACCGAGTTTTATCAGTAGGATGACTGATAGCATTGAAAAAAAAAACACTGAGAAAAGCAGATTTGCTTGGTGGAAAGAGCAGTGGACCACCACCCGATCTGGCTTCTCGTGACCTTCAGCGAGCCGCTTACCCCTCTGAGGCTTGCTCCCCTCAGCTTTCAAGGGCGGGGACTGATTTCTGAGGTGCCTTCCATCTCTAGTTTTCTGTGATTCCGTGAGAACTTCAAAAGGCAGGGAATGATGTCTTAGCACCTCAAAAACATTTGCTGCTTAGAAACGGAACTTAAGAAAAATTGTTGGCATTTGACACAAATTGCATGAAGCCCAGATTTTTTAGACTCTTGTGCCAGTGAGTTTCAGGTTGCTTCCTATGGGCTCCATCTCTCTGCTTGTCACTTTTTGTCCTTACCCCTCATTCTGAGTTTCTCTCCATCCCAGATGGAATAGTGGGCCAGTGACAGGCTGCCTACTTAGAAGTCATCTGAAAGCCTTTTTCAAATAAAAGTTTTTACATCCCTGATACCCATGGTGATTCTAATGCATGGCCAGGTGTGGAAACCCTAACTGCTCACATCTCCTCTATGGGAGACCCATCCCTACTGCCATCCTGGAAAAGACTGGAGTCCATCCATGCTCTCTCCCTAGCATCGACCCTTTAAGCACCTTGGAGCCATGGAGTCCTGCATAGTTCAATTGTAAGATAGAGCAAAAGGTCACAGACTTACACGCATGCAGACTGATTTAAATCCTGCCTCTGTCACTCACTAACTGTAGATCCTGGATAAATCATTTTACCTCGGTAAGTCTAGTTTCCACACCCGTGAAATGTGATTAAAAATACTTTATGTTGTTGTTATGAAGATGACATGAGATAACATATCTAAGCACCTAGCATGGAGCCTGACATATTACATGCTTATATTCCTCTAACTTTTAGAATTTTTTTTTTTGAATTAGCCCTGAGCTAACATCTGCTGCCAATCCTCCTCTTTTTGCTGAGGAAGATTGGCCCTGAGCTAACATCCGTGCCCATCTTCCTCTATTTTAT